GGCATAATTTTTACATTTTCCTGGTTCTCCAAATACTTTAAGTTGGACATTTTGAGCCATGGAGGAATGTCACGGGAGTCGACAGGGGACTCCTGCGGGGTCATGAGGCACTATTTTGGGGTACAATTTTCCCATTTTGACCCCTTTTCCTGGTTCTCACAAAAGTTGAGTTTGATCATTTCGCCCATGGAGGAAAGCCAGGGGAGTCGACAGGGGACTCCTGCGGGGTCATGAGGCACTATTTCCGGGTACTTTTTTTCATTTTCACCCAAATTTCCCTGGATGAAATATATATATTTTTTGTTTTTAGCCCAGTTTTGGCCACAGCGTTGCCTGGAGGATAGGACCGAGATATGACAGACTCTCTGGCCGCCTCACAAGTCACTATTGTCGGACACTTTCTTTGCTTTACCCTGGTTCTATCACTCTTTCCTCCTTTGACCATACAACCCGTTTCCTGCTGGGGTGGTGCCTGGTTCCGGGGTACCCCAAACCCTCTCATGGTCGGGGCACCATGTATTGATGCATCGGACCCAATGTTGCCATCACCAGCACCGCGTTGATGTGGAGGTGGGACCATCCAACCCGGTGGTAACCCAAGCCCTCCCTTGGTCTGTGCACCATGAATTGATGCATCGGACCCAATGTTGCCATCACCAGCCCCGCGTTGGTGCGGAGGTGGGACCATCTGACCCGGTGGTAACCCAATACCTCCCTTGGTCCATGCATCCAATTGATGCATCGGACCCAGTGTCGCAACCACCGATCACGCTAACGCATATAAACGGAGAACTATAACATCATTTAGATCAAATTCATTGTGTGTGTTTCAGTAAGGATGTCATCTGAATGCCCGGTGTGCAGACTCTTCTATCTGGCATTGTACAAACACCTTAAGCACAAGCATGCAGTGCGGAACTTGGAGGAGAGGGGAATCCTCCTGAAAATAGCCAGTGGAAGGATAAATGTTCGGACCAAACCCTGTCCCATCGCTGGGTGTTCGTACGCTGGGAAGAGACTGGACCGTCATGTAAAACATGACCACCCTGAGTTGTCCCGACATGAGGCACAGCAGGTCATGGCAAGGCTGAAGCATAGTGTGGCACTGCAGTTGCTCCATGACCTCCGTGAGACTAACCCCATCATTGGAATGGCTACATCATTGGATATAGACAATGAGGAGGAATACCCCGGGCACCCTCCACCCTTCTCCCCACATACCGAGTGTGACAACGAGGACTGCAGGCAGGTGATGCTGGAAAATGTGGCATTGAGGGCTCAGAAGGATGCCCTCAATGATGAGGTGAAGACCCTGCGCTCCAGGCTGAAAAAGGAGCTAAAACCCAGGAAGCAGAGTGCTGCTGTGCTTGAGGAAGAGGACGAATGTATACGATTTAAGGGCCTGGCAATCCCAAGTAACTCCGGCATAAACACAGTAGCCTCAGGCAGCAATACCCCTGTGAAGAGCCCGGTGAAGACTGTCATGCTTGCAGTAGCCTCCGGTGTTTGAAAATATCGCAAAAAGTAGTAATATTGTATAATGTAATAGTTGCATGTTGTATTTTGATAAAAATCACTGTATATTCAAAAATATAATGGAGAGAAAAAAAAATATATATATCACAGTATGTTGAAAAATATGAAAAAAGTAATGTTGTGTTAAAATAACATGAAAGAAATCAAAAGTAAAGCATCTAAAACATATATTTAAAAAAAAGTAATGTTAGTCAAGTAATTCATTACAAATGAATGAATATTTTACCAAGTTATAAAGTTTTCCATACATAAACGTGTATCTTACAGTTCCTTTGTGAGAGAATTACGCACAAATCTGTCATATCAAAACATTCTATTGCAGTATTTTATCTGTTTTATGTGCTCTATATGTATATATATATATGTATATATATATATATATATATTTATATTTATATATTTATATATATTTGTTGCACTGTTGGAGGAGCCTATGACCTATGTTTTTCATTGACATATCTACACTGTAGCTAATGGGCATATGCCATAAAGCCTTGAAACTTGAAACTTAAAATTATCAGAAACTGCATTGTCTCACTGAAAACAGCTCTAAAGAAAACCCAATTCCATACAAAAGTACTTAACTTTCTACCAGTTGTAAAGTGTTGCTCACTTCAAAAGTGTATCTAAAAAGTATCTTAGTAACAAAAACAAAAGCATTAATGTTAACAACGCCTCAAAGGGCGGACTCCTGAGTTCCGTAATGCCCCCCTACCATGGCATTTGGACTATTTACATCATCCAGGGCTCAACACCAGTAAATACAGCTCTCTTTATCCGCTCTCCAAGCCTCCAAGGGCGGGCTCCTGAGTTCCGTAATGTCCCCCTAACATGACACTTAGATTATTTTCATCATCCAGGGCTCAACACCAGTAAATGTAGCCTCATGTAACTTCATATAGGGATTCATTAATAGTTGTGTGAAGTAATTAAACAATAAAAAGAGGGGTCATTAAGATCTTTAAATTATTATTTTCCTCTCAAAGAGACTTTGTTATAGTTAGTAAAATAATTAAACATTAGTTCACAAGCCCTACAACTTAAGAGAACATCCTTAGTTAACACAAATCATATTAAAAAACTAATCTAATTTAGAGAGGACAATAAAAGTTTTAGGTGACTTAGTGAATGAGAATTAACGGCTGATAGCAAAATCAGGAGGTGACAGGCAGGGGGAGGGGAGGGGTGGGAGGGGGTGTGAGGGGAGACAGTCTCACACATCCAGACTCCATTTTTCATGAAGAGCCTCAGACGGAGGGTCTGAACCCGGCACAGATACTGCACCCGTTTCTTGACTGGCGCTCCCGACAGATGGCGGTAAGTTGTCACAGGCGTCTCGCTGATTAAACCCATATCGATGCGTCTCTTTGGGGAGGGGGACGGGGTGGGAGGAGGACGGGGTGCGAGACAGTCTCACACAACTTCAAAGAGACTACCTTAACACTAATTACAAACACTGATCAAAGGACCTACATCAAAGGGCTAATTCGATTGACATCAAAGGCTTATAACACACCGGTGCGATATCACACCTACATGTTACAACACCTCAGACCCTTACATCAAAGGACAGACATCAAAGGCTAATTAGATTACACAACAAAAGGATCTACTACAATGGGGAATTCACACCTACATGTTACAAACACCTCACCCCTCACATCAAAGGATAGACATCAAGGAGTCAGACATCAAAGGCTAATTAGATTACACAACAAAAGGATCTACTACAATGGGGAATATCACACCTACATGTTACAAACACCTCACCCCTCACATCAAAGGATAGACATCAATGAGTCAGACATCAAAGGCTAATTAGATTACACAACAAAAGGATCTACTACAATGGGGAATATCACACCTACATGTTACAAACACCTCACCCCTCACATCAAAGGATAGACATCAAAGGGTCAGACATCAAAGGCTAATTAGATTACACAACAAAGGATCTACTACAATGGGGAGTTCACACCTACATGTTACAAACACCTCACCCCTCACATCAAAGGATATCACACCTATCTGTGAAATCACACCTACACGTGATAACACCTCGAACAAAGGGGCTCATTAGCATATCAAAGGGGCTCATTAGCATAAGTAGGAGGCGGGACATAGCAGGTGTGACCTGTCACTTTTTATGCATACTAATGTGATTGAAGTGGCATTTGTATAACTACTTACCTTTACTGTCGCCACTTTAACTATATTTTAATGATAATACTTTTATACTTTTGCTTGAGGAACATTTTTAATGCAGTACTTTTACTGTAACAGAGTATTCCTACACCCTGGTACTTCTACTTTTACTCAAGTACAAGATCTGAGTACTTCTACTTTTACTGTCGCTACTTTAACTATATTTTGATGATAATGCTTTTGTACTTTTATTTGAGGAACATTTTGATTGCAGGATTGTTCCTACACTCTGGTACTTCTACTTTTACTCAAACCTGAGTACTTATACTTTTACTCAAGTACAAGATTTGAGTACTTCTACTTTTACTCAAGTACAAGATCTGAGTACTTCTACTTTTACTCTAGTACAAGATCTGAGTACTTCTACTTTTACTCAAGTACAAGATTTGAGTACTTCTACTTTTACTCAAGTACAAGATCTGAGTACTTCTACTTTTACTCTAGTACAAGATCTGAGTACATCTACTTTTAATCAAGTACAAGATCTGAGTGCTTCTATTTTTACTCAAGTACAAGATATATACTTATACCACCTCTGTTTATAGCCTATGAAAAAAACTATTAGAAAACGAAGGCTAAAGCTAACGTCAGCAGATAGTGACCATGTATGCTAGTTAGCTAGCTCAACGATAATATTGCGACAGAAAATCTTTTCAGTGCACATCACGCTCTGCCGCTCCGACAGCTGTTCACCAGCGGTCCAGTCTGTGCCACAGTGACTCCAGACCGCACAGTTAATATTAACGAACGCACCCGTAGGTAATGTAGCTGCTGAAGATAGACCCTCATCCCGGAGCAGCAGAGCCTTATTATACATCCATGAGCAGAGCTGACAGGCAGGAAGACTCGAGCACACAGCTTGCGCTGCATTATAATATATACAAAAAGAACACCATGCGTGTCATGATGGCACATAACAGCTCGCGGCCGCAGATTACTCCGGGTCCCAGACCCCCCCCCCCCCATACCCCAAAAATATTTTTATTGCAGATCTACATGAATCACACAAACGACCTATTTTGGATTCAAAACGGCGAATTTCGCCGAAAGGTGACAAGTTTGCATCCCTGCATTTAAATGGGCCCTATTCTGCAGGTTCAGGTTCAAAATGTGTATTTAGTGTCATGTGACATGTTTACATGCTTTAATGTTCAGAAAGCTCTTTATGTATCTCATACTGCCTTTGCTGCAGCACCACTTTTCACTTTTGCCTAAAAACAAGTGTTGGTAATTAAATCTTATGGGGCATCTAAAATGATACAAACAAATGATTGATGATTGTGAGAGATGTTCAGTTCCAGTTGTTTCTGTTTTCTGGCAGAGATAACAGAAGTAATCCGTACGACATGCTGTGCAGTGAACGTCTGGGACCAGAGGGTAGAAAGGAGAAGTTTGTCTACTTCTACAGGTCAGAAACACAAGTACAGACAATCCTGTGTGTGGTTAAAATACCTTTTTGGTCAACCAGTGCCTTTATTGTAGAGACAGACTTGAAATGGGGAGTGATGACACACGGCAAATGGTCTTCGAACTGGATTCAGACCAAGCCTCAGTACACATCAATCTAACAATTGAGCTATACGTTCATACTTCATTGAGACGCTTGACTTCAATCTTTTTAGTCATATAATTTATTTTATGTCTATGGTTCGGTAGCTAAGACCCAGAACATCATAGGCTTTACAAATCAACACATTGTGCTCTTGGGCCAAGGCTTTACCGAAAAAGTTCAAGTGGTTTATGAGCTATCTCACTAACTAATACAAATACATTAATAAGCAAACAAAACATAACATGTGTGTTTATAAGCTTTATAATACAGTACATGTTTGTGGCTTTGTGTTTTAGAAAGAAAGAAGTGGAGATATTAGAGGCCTACCAGTGCAAAGGAAATAATGTTGACGGGCTCACCAGAGAGCCTCTCTTTGTCCTTCTCAAGTGTCCAAACACAGGTATTTGTGTGTGTGGTGTGTGTGTATATTTGGTACAGACCTTCAATGAATGTTAAAGCACTTCTTTAGTTAAAATAGGGGTTAAAGGTTAGGCAAACATTTTTGGTTTATTTAGGTCCTCAAAGGTGTGTTTATGTGTGTGTGCATATGTCTTGCACGGCTATCATTGTGAGGACCACTGGGAGTTTTAGGTCACATTCACACAAGCCTTATTTAGATTAAACCGCAGTATTAAAATAACCTGCCGATGCTCCATGGCGGAGGCTCCGGTAGAAATTGCCGGGGTTTGCGTTTTTACCCCCTTAATGTCTGACCAATTGCTGAACAGCATTTCCGTGCACATGACTTGTGTTTAAAGTGTATAGTCCGTTTGGGTTTTGCCCGTGTGAACGCAAACCAAACCTTCTGAAAAAAAGAAATAATGTAACAAACTGTCGTCTGATGCGAACCAGTCTTGCATTAATGCACATTCTCAAAATATTGAAGTGACTGTTATTTTGTATATATTGATTGTTGTGTTTAATTGAGGTCTTAATGTGTGCACATGTAAAAATGTGTCATTGATTGTGATATAGGTATATACATATTTTTCACACAAATGTTTATATACATTTGTTTTTGTAATCGGGATTGTGGGAAACGGTATTTCGATCTCTCTGTCTGTCTCAAACAGAAAGATTTACAATAAAGTTGACTTTGACTTTATCAGAAAAGCGGACTATTAGGTGTGAAGGCAACCTAAGTTGTGAGGACCTTTCTATATTGTGAGGTCCTAACTTTAGGAAAGACATAAATGGACTGTTTAAACATAAATACTTTTTTTTTTTAATTAGACTTAGGTTGCGATAACGGCCAGGGAATTATTTGTGTATGTGTATGTGTGTGTGTGTGTGTGTGTTTGCCTCCAGTTGTGCAGGAGCTGGTGTTGATCCCGGTCCACACCAAACCAACGGACGCAGAGGCGGAGCTGAACGCTCTGCATGAAGTGGTTAAAGATGTGAGGGAAAGATGTCACAATGATGTAAGTGTTTAAAATATTATTGATGGGTTTGAGAGAAAAACAATGTGTGAAAATCTTTACATTTAACATTAACCATTTTTAGTTTATCACGATATTAAGTGATGGGTTTGTGAGAGATTAAATAGTTTTGTTTAATTTTGTTTCTCATGTAAGCAAACTTGTTTAAGCTTTGAATACCTTCAGTTTGAATAAAGTAAAAACAAATTAACATAATGTGTTTTTCCATCCTGAATTTGGTTGTGTTGTTCTTTCTTCTGCAGAACATTATGGTTTTGGGAGACTTTAATGCCGCTGGAAAGTATCTCTCCAAGAAGAAGAAGGAAACGCTCCTTATCTCCTCGGCTCCTTATTATTGGCTGATAGACGATGATGTCGACACCACGACTAGTAACAATAACGACCACACCTACGACAGGTAATACACATTTCATTGTTACAGTTTAATCCAAGCATTTTTTGTGTTTGTTAAAAAAAAGAGTTGTGCTGCATTTCCAAACAACAGGATCGTGGTTTACGGAGAGAGGATGCTGAAGGCCATCGTCCCCAACTCAGCCAAAGCCTACAACTTCAGGGAAGAGTTGAAGTTGACAGAAGAACAAGTGAGACTCATGTTTAGGGGTATCGTTGGTACGATGAGATGTTACCCCTCCGGTCTCCCCTACTGTAACACTGAAACCTGCTGAAGTGACACAGCCCAACCCATTACCGGTTTAAATGCATATATGTACATTTTTCCGGTTTAGCACAAGCAGCATCATAAACAATACACTTTATTTGGGATTATTAACAGCTACACTACCGAAGCCCACCAGCTGGTTGGAAAGAATACTAAAGCACATGAGGATAGTTTTATAAAACTGCCAGAAGGGTGGACAAAGATTAGCTAGGACTGTTAGCTATCACCCTAACAAGCTGGCCAACGAACATTAAAATTTTATTTTCTGTCCCAGACGCAGAGTGTCAGTGATCACTACCCTGTGGAGGTGGAGCTGAAGCAGAAAGCTTGGTGAAAAAGGAATCCAGTGAAACCCTCGACTGGAGAAAGACCTCAGGGTAAAGATGTCTCTTGTTTCATCAACATCAGTGACAAATATTAGACATTGGAGTGTATTTAGTTGTGTTTTTTATGGCTCTTGCTGCATCATGCTAGCACTTCGGGATTTTAAATCAAATATGAAGTGCTTTATAAATGGAACCCATTATTATTATTATTATTATTATCATGAATCTCACATTAACAATATAATTACATTTCTTTTGAACTGATGACTTACAGGAGCCCAGAAGAAAAAGGCCGGGCCGGCAGCCACAAAGGGGAAAGGAGTGTAAACCAAGAGAAAAGGAACCAATCTTCAATATGTTATTATCTTAAAGTAGTTTTAGTTATTAGCTTTTAGTGATGAGCGCTATTCAACCCTTATGTTGTGTTCGGGTCTCCCGTGACCCAATTTAAGTTAGGGTTAGGGTTAGTAATGTGTTTTGGGGCCATACAATACAATTACAACAGGATTGTTCGGTTATGAATGCATAATAAGTGAGTTATGATGTAGTTAAAACAATATTGGATGATTGACCCGCGAACACCATGAACGGTAACAGCTTTCGAACACAACACAAGGGTTAAGTGTATGAACAGAATAGAGCTTGTATTGCTTCTTGATGTTTTTGATGCAACTTCAAGTTCAGCAACAGAACAGTTTTCAGTAATGTAGGACGCATTTTGTTAAATGAAAAATATTTTAACTTAAATTCATAGAATCTAAATGTTAACTATTTGGTGGGAAAAACTAGTTTTGTGGTTATTTTGTTTTTCTGTTGTGTGACTTCGGTTAATTCGGATTCAGCAACAAATAAAGTATCTGACAAGTCATCTGACAACTATCCTCAAGGTAAAGTACTTAAAAGATTCTAAATATGGAAAATATTTTCTTAATCGGCTAAAATACATTTTGCAGACTGTCACGTCTACAGCAATATGTTTCTGAGCCAAACTGACTAAGATAAGTTCCTCATATCACTTCAATATAACCAAACTATCCATTTAAACTATATTCACAGACGCATGGCATTACAGTATATCACTACTTTTTTACTAACAATGCTTTTTGTTATCTGCAATAAAAAATAATCATGAAATTATATTTTGTGCTTTCTGTGTCATTATAAACTCCATGAATAATTGTATTAGGTTAATGTAGTCTTGCAGTTTTTTAACAACTGTTAACAAGACATTTGGTTAAATAAATAAATGTTTAAAAATGTTTTATCCATATTGAACTCCTACATGTTGTATATAAAGGAGCAAAGGTTGCTTCACAAAATTCAAGTCGAGAAACAGCCAGATTCTGCTGATATCACAATGTGTGTTTCGGTTCCCACATCATATTTATTTGTATCACTTGTAAACAAACTGCATGGACAGGTGCGCTATTTTGTGAAAGAAAACATACAGATGGTGATGAGCTGCATGAGCTAACCAAAGTCTTTACAGTTTTAAATCTCTGTCTCTCAGTATGATCCGATGAATGGTAAAGGGTGTGGAAGTACCAAATTATTACTAGATGTCCAGGGGCCTCATTTATAAAATCTTGCGTAGGATTCACGTGGGAAGGTTGCTTCCGTAGGACAAAGCAAATAAATACGCATAGACATTTTCTGATTTATAAAACACTGCGTACCGGCGACTAGCTGGCTGTACAAGTACACAAGGAGTTCTATTAGTCACAAACATTGAGAGTTACAAAAGTAAAATATGTAGGGAAATTGTGTGGTTGCTCAACTAAGTGATCAGTATATGTGATGGAAGATATTTTGTGTGAGTGTGTGTTTATGTGTGTGTTTGTGTGTGTGTCTGTGAGAGGGAGAGAGAGGGAGTGTGTGTGAGAGAGAGAGAGAGAGAGAGAATGAGTGTGTGTGAGAGACAGTGGATCTTACCTTTTAGAAGTGTTTCTTCCTTGCCTCTCTCTTTGAAAGGTCTGTGATTAGGTCATCAAAATCCAAGGCTCAAGGCTAACATTGCTCGCTAGCTCCGTGACCGCCACCACTGTTCCTTGTGGTTGCTGGCCTATTTCGTCACTTTTTGCTTTTTGAGTGAGTGTCATTTAAAACAATGTATGATGAGTCTTGTCACTGAGGGCCCTCTTTGCTCAAGGGCCCCTGGGCACTTGCCCAGGTTGCCCATATGGTTAATCCGCCCTTGCCTCCCATGATGAGAAACTGTAAGAAAGTATCGGGGGATCCCTGCGGAGTGGAGTCAATTCATGTTTATTTTTTTATTTGGTGGTTTGTGTTCCAGCTGTCAATCAGCTGTGCGCAGCGTCTCCACTGCAGCGTGTGCATCTCAACCCCCCGCAGCAACTCTATATCCACCAGTTAAAGGAAATAAAACAAATGTTTAATATCAGCTGCCAAATCTACCAAATATATGGTGTTCTTAGTTTCCATACCTCCTGTGTTTTATGAGCGACTTATCAAGTCTTAGCAAACGGCATAAAAACATGATTAAACATGATAGTATATAAAACCATGCTCGTATCTATACAACCTATAGAAATGCAAAACGGCCTCAGTTTAGACGTAATTCTGTCCTCCTGCTTACCGCATCATTTAGGAGAATACATGTCATAACATTAAAACAACATATTCGAAGTGGTTTTCAATAACATATCCGTATTTATTTATTTCTCCAAGTTATGTTTTTGTGTGCACTGAGGAGTCTCAAACAGTTTAATCATTTTAAGATTGGCTTTAATCAATTTTTGCAAATTAATTCTTCATATTTGATAAATGAGAGGTAACATTTTATTTATGGTATTATTTTCACATATTTCTCTCCATTCTTCCTTCTGCCAACGGTGTCGCAGTTTCTCGTCTCTCCCGTTTTTGTGCGTATGTGCGTAAGCATGGGTCAGAGTTTGCGTGGAGGGCCGCACATTTTCCCGCCAAGTTTGTTTTTTATAAATCGCAAACATTGCTTAGAAACTGGCGCACGCCATCTTATGAGCGTACGCACCGTTTATAAATGAGGCCCCTGATGTTAACACAAGGCCGTTGTTCCCATTATGAAAATTCAACCAGGACCATTACATTACATTACATTGCATTTAGCTGATGCTTTCATCCAAAGCGACTTACAATAAGTGCATTCGACCAAGAAGATACAAACTTGAAGAAAACAGAATCATATAAGTACATCAGGTTTCATAGAGCCAAAACATTTCAAGTGCTACTCAACTGGCTTTAGATAAGCCAGTCCTTTATTAGTATATAAGTGCTTTGTTAGTAATTCTTTGTTAGTAATTCTATCGCTCGAAGTGGAGTCGAAAGAGATGAGTTTTCAGTCTGCGCCGGAAGATGTGTAAGCTTTCTGCTGTCCTGATTTCAATGGGGAGCTCATTCCACCATTTTGGAGCCAGGATAGCAAACCGACGTGTTTTTGCTGATGGGAACTTGGGTCCCCCTCGCAGTGCTGGTGCAGTACGGTGTACAGTTTAACCATGTCCTGGCAACACACTCTCACTCCCTAAGCGTCCAGGAGCGACGCTTGGTCAGGGTCCCGAGGCGTCCAGTTGTGACGCGCCGAGGCTCCTTCAGCTTCATAAACGGACGCAAAGAGCTTTCAACTGATTGCAATGTATTCCCATCGGCGTCGGTATTTGACGCTTAGGGAAGCACGGCATTCGTTTGTGTCGGAGGCTGTTAAAGGCAATGTGAGCGTCCATTCCCATTGGATAACGGAGAAGTATTCCCCTTACTGTCGATTGATTTGACAGTGATATCTCCACTACTCATCAACTCAAAAACACCAGATTACTGTATCCTTGTTAATTAAACGACATTGATAGGTTTTAGTGTGTGTACAATGCTTTAGTCACATGTTCCCCTTCAATTCTGAGAAACAAGTCGTTTTCTATGAGTTTTGGATGGCCGAAGACATGACATTACCCACAATCCTCTGTAGCAACCATAGACTGTATAAAACAATTAAATAATACATTATTCCGAGTGTGCTTGCTTTTCTCTTTGAAAGTCATCACATAACGGCATTGTAATACACGTTTCGGCTGCATTAAATATGACATTTCTTCAGTAGTTAACTCTATTTATAGAGCCCTGATGACAAGACTTCTAGACAAACAGGAACTGCCGCTAAAACTGAAAACTTGACGTGGATCATAAATATATAAGCAATTAAACAACATCTTACATTTCTTTTCACACAATACGTCTCCTTGCAGTATCAACACTAATTCGGCTGACTTTTATATTTGATCCAATTGGTAGATAGGCTGTATTTACGCCATAACGGTGCACAGCTGATAGAAAGGGACACCTACTGGTTAAAGCACGTTATTGAATTTTATAATTTATTATTAGATATTAATAGGATCCCTATAAAGTATATTCTTTACTCGTCGTTATTCTCTACTAATAGTTAATTAAAGACTGTATATAATGACTATTTTGCACATCCCTTTCAAGATTTCAAGATTTTCTAAGGTTTATTGACATATCATATTATACACAACTACGGTGTAGTTCTGCAATGAATGAAAAACTTGGGTCGCAGGTTCCTCAACAGTGCATTACAAGACATCTATCAATATGTGTTTATACCTCCACCATTACATTGTCATATTCTGCACATTTCTTATACTATCTACATACATCTTATAAGAGAATACATATGTATAATATCAGTTAAAATAAGTGCTTAAACATAGTTAACATTGCAGGAAAGCAATATATTAGACGTTGAGTACTTTGTCAGGCTTAATATTTATCTGTAGATTGTAGTGACTACTATTTAACTAGGGTACATAATTCACGCATGGAACTACAGGTTGGAGGTATTGTTTCCGCACGGACACATGTGTTGACGGTACCTACTGTGTACCTACTGTGTGTTCCCCCTTTCACTTTCTCTTGTCTCCTGTGCCTTCGACCCGACAGCATGTCGATTTCTGCTCCCCAATAAAGAGAGATTTGCACCTCCGATGCACCGCCTCCG